CGACCCAAAAGTTTGTTAAGTGCAGAATAACCAGTCAGAATTATAGGCTGATCGAGCCTCTGTATACACCGCATGCCAAGACGAGCAAGATAAGCACCTATGCCCACAGTTCTGCCGGTTACGTATGTCAAGGTAAATGTTTCATGGTATGCCCGCGAATATGCACTGGCAATGGCTCCACTACCACTTAAGTTCTCAACTCCGAGGCCATCCTCTTTTCCTATTATAGTATCTATAACCCATCGGATCTCTCCATCTGACAACTTCAGTTCATGAGCAATGACAGAAGATTTCATTCGTTCATGATCCTCAGGAGTCAAGTAAACATACTGAAAACCCCGCTCAGGGCTCAACTCATCTGACCACCCAACTTTAAAGCAAGATTTGACCTCCTCTGCAGCACCAATACGAGCCCCTGAATTTGCTGCCAAATAAATAAGTGGCAACTTCTGGGTGCAAGCAACATCAGTCACAGCTTGGAAAAACGCATCCTCTCTCGGACCAAAAGATCCATTTCTGAAAGTCACGTCATTTGCTACAATAATTATTTTCCTTCCTGTTGGGAACTCAGGAGTAGACATTTCTATAACCCATGCCACCATACCGACGTCATTGTGGCCAGGCTGACGCTCCACAGGGACAAGAGGAGTACCCCAACTAGCTTTTTGGTCAGGAAAAGCTAACTCTGTGGCTTTCAAGAGGATCTTACCCTTAGGCCACTCTATTAGTGGAGCCTCAGTGGCCCAAGACTTCTCCAACACGGCTTCAAAGGCCTGCACAAGGGATGTTTACAAAAGGTTGATACTAATCCAGATGATAATACCCAATATAAATGACTACTTTAGTTTGATGTTTACCAGTGGGAAATCGTAGCAGTAAGTGGTGTTACTCTTCCGGGCCAAAAGCCGTTTCTGGTCAAGCACCCCCAATGATGGATAAGGTGCAGTAACAGGTACACCATGTAAAGGACCATCCCCGGAGGTTGAATGATAGACCGCTCTTTGTTCAGACACATTCTCAACTTCCCGATAGATCTGAGAGTTGAATTACCAATACTATGATGTCAATCTTAAATCAAAGTGTTTCGCGGACACACAATACATGGAGAGAGAATAAAAGTCATGACACTTTCATCATATAAAAATTATAGGTTAAGACCATGGTTTAACCCAATAGAACGGAACAAGATATGTGAGTCCCTTGGCACTAATACAGAATGTACACAGTTTCCATCATAGTCATAGGAACTTTAATCCCTATACCAAAAGAATATACAACAATTAAACCTCAGTTTTAAACAAGTTAGGGGGCGGCTATATGAATGCTCACTGACTGTTTTTTCATTTAAATTCATACAAGGCCAAAATGAGATTAAAATATAGAGTACTAGAAGTTCTTTATATTTTCTACTGGCATAAAAATCCCTGATAGAGCTAAAATACTCCTGGAAAGCATATGGAAAGATCAGCCAATAAAAGAAAGTAATCGTTTCCAATCCAAGCCCAAACTATGGACTGATGTTTTTTCAAGTTGTGCATAAACACCACAAGCAGATAGTTATCAGATAAATTCCAAATTAGTTACTAAATGACACTTACATGCACAATGCAGGTGTGCCCTGTCACATTTGCAACCACAACCCTCCAAGCACCATTGGCTTCTCCTGCAGATGATATCCAGAGTTTCACTTCCCACTCACATACACCTAACCTATGCATCCTAACACCAACAGATGCATTAATTTCACAAGCCAACTCTTTCAAGATTTTATGAACAGCACCTTCTTCGTGCTCAATGTTTAGGTCTGCCCTCCTGTAGTGGATTTATGGGGGAAAAAACAATGAGCTTAGCATGCCAATATTTTTACCTAAATAGCAAGCAGAACTCCTTAAAATATCTTACTTATGATAGGGAAATAGATCATCTATCTGTTGCTCACGCAAAATGTACAAGTACATATGAGCATGGTCAGATTTTAATGTTGTACTATGGAGATTAAGTTCAAGCTCCTCCAGGGCAGATGTTAAGGACCTCAAGATGCTCCTTGAAGTAAAAGACAAAGCCAAAGGAGATGGAGCGGTTCCCCGATCCAATCCTTGATATGCTAGTAGACCTTCATCTGATGTGGGTTGTCTTACAAGTGTTCTGAGAAACATCCTCTGGATTGGAGGTGGCTTGTCTACAACAGAATAAAGATGCCATTGACGGTCCCGGGATGGAGTGTACTTTATGTTATCATAGCCCTTAAGCTTGTCCTGTATTGTTGGGAGATTATGAACGTAAATTAGGTCTTAGAACCAAAAGGATAATAATAAAAGGGTACAAGAAGCATGAAAAAGAGTTGCAGAATATAGACCAATTCAAGGTAAATGGATAGCGGAGGCTCCAGATGACGCAACAGAGGCTCCTCCTCATAATACAGCTTCACAAGTGACCAGTGAAAGGAGTGCCTCATTGGACCTCGGCCTTCATCTCTCTGTATGATGCAGCTGATAACCCCAACACCTGCACTTTTAAGGCTGGTGCTCACATCTTTCTCTCTTAATATTTTAGCTAACTTGTTGATCCTTTCTTGAGCCTGATCTTCATCGCCACTGCAGTAGTGTATACCAATGATAAGCAAGAAAATAAATACATGTTACTCCTGTTTCCAGCAGATCAGTAGATCAGATGCACAAGCAAGAGATTTAGCATGCCACATATGAAGATGTATGAAATTACTGTGAGAAACTTGGTTCTCTCTTATATCATCCAGGTTAAGGCCAATACTTATTTTTTCTATTTACTAATGCAGCTAATCCAAGATTAAGGAGAAGTGCTGCATTCATTTAGTTTGATCATCTGCTAAGTAAGGATGCTGAAATTATTGCAACCCTATCTCAAGTTTAACAGCAGATTTAAACAGATGTTTCTGTAGTCTACGATTTACCTACATCTACATAACATCCAAAGTAGCAGTTTAGAGTGGATTCAAAGGACACTTGTGATACCTATCCTGAAGCAAACTCATTTGATTGTTGATGCCCACCAATGCAATATGCAGCATGTTGCCATGATTGGTTGGTTGAACGGATCCATTTGACATCTCTTTGTGCAAGTTGTGTGCTGTTTCCCTCAATGCAGCAGTTAATACTGATGGCAAGAGTTGGAGAGATTTGATTATTACCATGGCTCCCCATTTTCTTTCGCTGCGTTTTTCAACTAATGGTTTATCCATCTTATTGTCTTCAGGCCCATTCTTTCTCTCCACATGTTCTTCTAAGAACTCCCATGTAACTATTAGTCCAAATCTGTGCCACTGCATCCTCACACTCTCCTTAACAAGGTAGGGCTGGAATAGTTATCAAAAGTTAGAATTAAAATCATATCTATCTGACAAAAATAGGTAAAGCAAGACAAGTAAAACCTTAAAAAGCAGAAATACAGTACCTGATATAGTCTTCGAACATAAGTCTCCACAACCCTCCTCTGAAGGGTGTGATCACTGTGATCAAAAAGACCTACAAGTGCATCTTCGACAGCTAACGGAGCACTTACTAGAACTTCCATTCTTTCGTTGATGGCACTTTTCCGCTTAGGTGTATCCATATTGTCACCTTCTTCAGTGAACATCTCTAACTCAGAAAGACTTCTCGCAATGCTTGAACGTAGTTCACTCAGTTTAGTTTGCTCTAGAAGTTGACTTGCCTTCAGTGCCAACTGCAGAGAATAATTTAGGCGTAGGAATCACTCTTAAGGAGTTCTAGGTACTTGATAATACAGTAAATATTAAGAATCAGACAATGTTCTTAAATAGTCACTAAAAAAATGACCATAAGAAGTCGTATTAGTCGTGCCTGAAAGTGGAAACAGAGGGAGGACCTTTCCCTTTTAATCTTTTCGTTTTCCACTTTCCTTTATCAAGGGTCAGTAAATAAATGCAATTGAGGATGGTGGTCGGGCTAGATAGTCAAGCAGGCATAAGAACCATCTTTGATTGATACCAACATTATGAAGTGATCAAGAAAATGTGTACCAAGTCTACAAGGTCCACACGACAAGAGAAATCAAGGAGTAGATCAGCAAAGAAAATGTTACTAATGCTGATCTTGAAGAACTTCCAGGCAGTGAGCTTGATAAATGACTATTGCCAGGTTAAGAATACAAATGACAGAAACGTGGCCTCAAAGAAGAGGAAAGAAGAGATTTATTGATAACTTGATAAATACAGGACAGATATATTTATAGGTGCCAAATACAATGCACATGCTATTTGTCTAATGTGTGAATATATCTAACTCAAGAAATTAGCTAAAGGACCAACCTCAGAATAATTCGTATGGTTGAGTGCTGAAAAACGGATAAGTTTATCCCTGTATGCTGCTGGATTTGGATATACCAACTGCTCCATCAGACTAAGTATAAGCTTATTTTTACGCCTAACACCCTGGAAAATAACACATTATTAATACATGATACCTTCCAGCATAAATCAGACCGGAAAAAGGAACTCCTGTCATATTAATAGTTTGCTTTTGCACTAATAAACAAAACAAAAACAAATATGAATAGTCTGCAAATACCTGGTGAGAAAGCACAATGTCAACAACCTTCAGGAGATCTTTCTTGTATTGAAGTCGGAGGCGTTCAATTACATCAGCCTGAAAAAGGAAGGGAAGAGAACTGAACTCAATTTCAATGAAGAATCAAACAACATCAGATTTATGAGGTCATCTGAATCCCTCCCTATTTTGTGATTGTATATTTTATCTGATTTCTTTGAGTAATAACAGTGGCAAGTTTGAATCGTTAACTGAGAGAGAATGCAGAGATGATCTGAACATCATTCATTAGGCAAAAAAGTCAGTTAACAAACAGGCCACATTTCAGGAAGGTGGTTACTAGAGAAAACTGGAAATGCAAACATAAGTTGCCTTTTTTTATCTTCTAAATGTGCTCAAGGGCTTCTACTGGGATAATTTACCAAAAAGAGGACAGCTACAAATCAAACAAACTTGTTAGCGGTTATCGCTTATCACCTCAGATATTAAATGCCCTCATATCTGGAAAAACTCTGTAACTATAGGTCTATGGCATAGAATACTCTACTTAGACTTGATAACAACAAAATTCAATTAAAGAAATGGAAAAAACCTTCAAGGAATTTTAAGTGATAAGAGGTTAGGGCATTGTGTCTGTTGTAAAACTTCTTTAATATTTCTAGTATTTAATTAACTTGCTACATTATGAATCATCGTTGTTTCCTCTTATGATATCATAAATTAGGACATACATTTTTAAGAACTTTGTTTAGCCTACATCCATCCAAGTCAGAAGCTTGTCAAACTTAAACACATGGGGATGATTATAACAAATAGGCAACCGACCTGGATGTTGTCACTGAACAATTCTTCAACAGATAGATACTCTTCAAAAAGGGAGTGGACAATTCCACGGGCATGACTCTCTCTTCCACCCTCGTAGGACTTGACAACACTCAATAAAGGTTCAACTAATCTTTCTTGAGCTCCCCTTTCTTTATCAGAGCACGACCTTAAGTGTGCCTGTACCAAGACAGAGATAAAACACAAATAAATGAATAATAGTATCAAGATAAATAAAGAAGAACAAGGTATTATGTCAAAGAAAGAGGAAAATGATAAAAGACTCACTTCAAGAACGCCTCTCAGAATTCTGGCTGGAAATTCAACATTTTGCAAGCCCTCATACTCCTTATATTTTGCTTCCAACTGAAAGGAGAGTACATGGCAAAATTATGAGCTAGAAAAAACTACAATTTTTCCCCAATGGAAGAAACATCAAGGGTATAGTCCTTTACCTCATTCCTCAGGTCCTTAGGAAGTCGTGTTGCCAGCACTGCTAAGCACTCTTGCCACTGCAGGAAGGGAAGCTCAGGACTATCCAGGCAACTTAGCAGGTTTTGAATCACCTGGACAGAAAAAGAGTTTCGTTTCATCACTTGGAGAAAAATGATTTCTTTATGTCTACTTAGCTGAAAGCATGTTAGTTGTTTTCTGCACCAACATCATGTAATCATATGAGATTACTTACTTCATCGACATTATGCTCATATCCAGCAAGAATCATCCTTGCTGCATTCTGACTTGCAGCACACCTCTGATGAACTTTTCCGGATATAGCAGTTGGAGGTCCCAGAAGCGGAAAACTTCCAAGAAAAGGCTCTGCTTTTCTAACAGCTGAAGGGTCATCTAAATCAAGAGATGCTATGAGCTCACCAGCCTACAAATAAAAGTTACATTTGTTTTAAGAATCTGTAAAGGACATAAAAACTATGGTCATATGACAATATGGTTACCTGCATTGCTTGACCATCAGACATCTTAAAATGGATAACTCCTGAAGCAGGTGAAAGAAGGGGCATGCACATCTTCATAACCTCAACCTCTGCATAAGGTGTATCAGCATCAACATGACTGCCATCAGATATCAAATATCTCAAAAGTTTGCACGGTGTCTCTGCCACTAGCTTGGATGGATCATGATCATTCTGAAAGCAAGGAACATTATGTGATAAGAAGGTGTAAGTTCTTAAAAAGCAAAGACATACTGGGAACTGAAAATCTATTGGCACCTGCAGCAAGCAAGTCCTTCCATCAATGAGAAGACGAGTTCCAGCTGCTTCCTCCTCAGCATATATAACATGACTATTTCCGTTCAGCTGCAGTGATCAAGTGAACTTAGAATGTAAATAATACTATTTCAAATGTGAAAGGAAACCAATGTAGTTGTTTTGTCAATATTGTTTCTACAAGGTAATATACAACATAGAATAATAAGGCTATTACAAACAATGGTGTAATTTGTTAGAAAATGGCATTGTAACAAGTTGCAGAGTGATTTATAATTGCCTGCATCAGTAGTCCTCCATCACGTAGAGTATGTATTTCTGCTTCAATCTCTGAGTCGTTCATCCTCAACCTATAGCTTCCTGGCCCTCCCTTCACCATATTAATCTAGGAGACACAACCACCAAAACCAGTTAGTTGCAGAACATCCAGCTTGGCCAGAATGAAAAAGGAAGATACGCAATTAATTTCTTAATCTTGCTTCTTGAGATAGGAGGATAATTCCAAATTTTCCAACATCTATATTTATCTACCAACACCAACCAAGGCCCAGAGGAAACAGCTGTGTACCATGAAGTGAGTAAAACACATTACTTACAGTGTACTTGCTCCCTTCAATATTAAGTGAGACTTGAGAGTTCACAAGAGATATATGCTGCACACAGAAGGATGACTGGTTATTTTGAAGTTGAAATAGACAAAACGGGTAGTTCAGAGAGAGACAAGCATTCTGCGTCTGATACCTTGGGCGGGATTTGTCCTTTTTCAAGATAACCAACATATTCAGAAACCAATGCTGCACCACTTGCAGATGCTTTCTGAGTCGGGCAAATTAACAGGAAAAGGAAGATATTAACCACTAAATTTGCAACATAGTATTTTTTATCATTTAGGTTTGCAATAAAATTGTCCAAGATTAAAATTTTAAGGACCTACAACAAAAATTGTATACTTACATAAAGAGCTCCTCCAACCACAGAAAGATACCAAGGAGGTCTTTCTGCTCTAACCCTCATAGCGATTCTACTATCCAACCAGCCTGTGTGTATTTTGTTCTCTCTATAATCGGAAGCCTGCAGTAATGTCCAACTTTATAAAAGAGAAATAAAACTGAGGACTCAGGCTTAGAGTTGTGTATCTGAGACACCTACATGTAATAGATCAATTGTGTAATCAACATTTGTGCGAATTTCTCCGCGTATCTGAATTTCCTTCAGTCCGAGGACCATGTTTGCAATGGCTAGGGCTCTGGATTCTCCAAATGCAAAAATATGTCCTGCGGGAAGATTTAAAAGCCCATAAGTTTCAAAAGGTCAAGGCTTGACACCTAGAAGATGCATGGAAAAGATCTTCATGAGAGATTATAACAGTTTCCAGCCATGGGTGTGATAAGATGGTATATTATCATGAAACGCCAGAACAGGAGTTCACTTGGGAAAATAGGAAACAAAAGAACGGACAAGATTAAATCTCCTGTTCAAAAAAAGAAAAGATTAATCTATCACCATAACCTTCTGTCAGGATCTCCTAAACGAATATTGACATATACACGCAAAAAAAACATGAATAGCAGCAATTTATTTCAAAATTCTGTAGGTGGCCACAAAGTGAATATTAAGGATTCAGATTTATCAAAAAGTCTTACATCTTTAATTTGCACTTTTGTAGCCACCTATAAAGATACCAGTTTAACTGATGTTATACATCAGTACTCTACTGTAACAACTTGTTCGACATGAGCAATTTAATTTTCTTACTTTTTTATAATTAGTACAACAAACTACAAATGATACTGATTTGTGCACACTCTGCTGATACAAATTCTTCACAATGTATTTGTTAACTAATTTAGGTTAAAGTTGCTTAAACTTACTTGCTTTAAATGTTATATGACGATGTGGAGAAAACTGCATCACAAAGCAACAAGTGCAAAAGGAACTTTTCCATTCAATTTTAACAGAACTCTTAACATAATTACGACCAATCCTTCCATATCACATAACAGAATATTCACTTAAAAGAGTTGTATAATATAAGCAAATTTCTTCTTTTAGATAGAAGGAAGCAAAAGGCTTTCTTTTAAAAGCTTGAGTCATTAAGCATAACCATCCAGGAGCCAAAGTGGGAAAAGAGGATATGCCTAATTGACGCTGCATGTTGTAGGTCTTAGTAAGTATTTTGATTTGAAAAAACTGAATAAAGAAAACAAATTATGTTTCTTGTTGAACTACAAACTCAAGACTGCCAAAAAGAAAAGAGGAAACAAACTTATTAACCCCCACCCCCTAGAAAAGAGAAAACAACTGCATAATTGAAATTCAACGTACCAAACTGAGAATCTGAAAACTCATGAATGCCTCCACCAGACTGCAAGCAAATATCTTGAAGCTCAGCAATAATCCAAGGATTCCAATGTTCTGTTTCCATTTACTTTACAAGCACATACCTTTACAGAGAAGTAGGCCCACACATTCGGCTTGCTTTTAAAACTCAGCTCCTACAGGATGTCATTAGATTAACATGGATTCATCCTAAAATCATGAGATTATGCAACGAAAGTGAATTTTATTAGTAGTTATTAATCCCGACCTGTACTTTACCACTGGTAGGCTTAAAACCATCATCAGGATCCTCACTTGTAACACGAACAGCCACACAATGACCTTTTGGCCTTGTTGATTCAGCCTTGTCGAAATCAAACGGTGTGGCAACAATTGATGTTTTTCTCCAAGCGTCATATCCTCCACCATGTTCCATCCCGTAGAATCGTCTTATTTCTAATATAATCACAAATGAGCACTTAATAATGGAGGCGTAGGAACCAAAACATATTAAGCGAAGGAAAGTGATAAGGAAGAGAGTAAACCTGGAATTTGCCACAATGGGATCCCCATTCCGACAGCAACTTGGGCTGCTGGCAGATTCATTTCTGCAATCCATTCAGTTACGGGGTGTTCCACCTAATAGATGTGGAAAATATAAGAATATTTCTTGACAAATTTCAAGAACAAAATGAAAATGAATTCTATTTAAATAAAAAATAAAATAAAAAAGCTTTTACAGTGGCAATCAACATCAAATTACTTCATGTATTTTTAACCGTTGATGCATTGGCCTTTAAATACAATGAAACAATAACTATCTATAATGACAAAACAAAACTATTTTGGATCGCCTATACTTGGTGAATAACAAAATTTGGCATGGGTCTGCATGATGCAGACTGCAAATGTAACCAACCTGTAACCGTGGGTTGAGTTCTAAGAAATAGTACTCCCCCGTATCCATACTATAAAGGTACTCAACAGTGGCAGCTCCAACATAATTGACAGATTTGGCCAGTCTTCTAGCAGCCTGCTCAAGTTTTTTCACCGTCTCTGGAGAAGCAATTGTTATTGGCCCCTCTTCAATAATCTAAATTTCAAGATATTGAGCATGTTAGTGACAACAATCAATATACGTTTACCCTTGGCTGCTTCATGCAGATTCCTCTGTCTCACATTTGCAAATTAAGATGAGTAACTTTTTCTTGATCATGAATTGCTAAACAAATAGCCAAAAGTTAAATATAAACTAACCTTTTGGTGACGCCTTTGAACACTGCAATCACGGCTGTGCAAGGCTGCAACATTGCCATATTGATCACAAAGCAACTGGACTTCTAGATGTCGACTCTAGTTAACAAAAGAAAATTGATAATAAATAGAGGACTTCCATTATTCAGAAAGGTTCTCTCTGAGGCTAAGTCAGTGCATTAACGTTGGACAAGATGGAAGTGGTGTAACCTGGGAAGCAACTTTCATTATAAATATGGGGGAGCCAGGTACTTCACCCTGAACTTGCTTGAACAGTGCTCTAACTTCTTCATCATTGTGAACCTGGAGCGAGCAAGAAATAGCTAAATACCCGATAATTAGGTACAGTGAATACCTTCTAACATTTTCATTCAGGAAGGAAATGCTGATGAAAGAATATATCAGATTAAATATTGGTCAGATAAGCCAATGTAACATCAAATAATAAGCAGCTAGACTACTTGCAATAATGTCTGTTAAGGGACAGACCTTTCTTATGCCTTTACCACCACCTCCCCACGATGCTTTAATCATCGCCGGGTAACCTACATCTTGACAACTAGCAATTGCTTCTTCCGTTGTATAAACACATGCTTTGGAATATATTTCATCTGGTATAGAGACCAAGCAGCTCTCTGGAGGAATTTTGACCTGGAGATTAAGTATTGTCCATTAAAAACATACTGACACTATGAAACAAGTGGAGCAAAATCCCAACATAAAGACTTACGTGGGAGCCACTCCATGGGAGAGTTGGTACTTGTGCAGCTTGAGCAATCAATGATGAGCCTACTTTGTCCCCAAGTGCTGCCATTGATGTAGCAGGTGGGCCAAGGAATACGATCCCCTTTGCACACAATGCATCAGGTAGTTCAGGGTTTTCAGATGCATGACCCCAACCAGGCCAAACTGCATCAACATGAGTTATCTCCGCCATCTAAACAAAAGAAAGTAAACACTGTATCAGCAGTTTTCAAACTCGTTACGTCATGGGAGGCATCCAAAATTTGTTCAGCTCCAAATGTGTTAAAAAAAATCATACTCTCTTCACTATTTGCATCGTTTTGGCATAAAGTCCCTGTTCCCCTTACATGCAGGTTTTTAAGACTGCGGACAGATACACTAACATGCACAGAAAAACATGTCATTTGGCTTCTGATGAAAGGTCAGCTTAAAGGTTACTTTTAATGCAACTTTTACATATTAGATGGATAATTCAGCTTGTATATCAGGCTTTGAGGTGCTAAATTCTTAAGAAAAAAGGAAAGATATTTACAAACCTCAACAATGAGCTGCACATTGGCATAATTGTTGTTATTTGTCCCACCAGGAACTTCTACAAACTGATCAGCTATTCTAATGTGCTCCGCATTTATTCGCATGTCCTCAGGTGTAGCCATTGCCACCAACAATATTGCCTTCTCTGTGCCAAATGTCTCATAAGCCCACGTCCTAATACTACGTATAAATTTGACCGCAGCCATTCCATTGTTTGCAATTAAGATACTATGAATATGCTGCTTCCCGCCAAGGGCATTACAGAACTCAGCAACTTCCGATCTAGCAATTGGAGACCTCAGTGGAAGCGCACCATTAATATATCCATCGCCATTTTTTATGCCTATCACTGCTGGCCTCCTTTGAGATTCTGACATATTGCACTATCTGAAACCAAAAGAAACTGTATTTGATTACTTGTAATCATCAAACACAACTCAATTAACCAAAAAACAGCTGAGAGACAAAGCACTAACTAATAGAGTACTTCTTGATCTCCTATGGCATAATCCAATTTCGGAATTGACAAAAGCTATTAATTCAATTTCAAACACAACCAAATGGTGATCATAACAAAAATTCCAAGAAAGCAACTTTACGTAGGATCAAAAGATAAACTTATTTATCTCATAGTTCCAATGTATGTTAGCCAAAATTAAAAGAAAATAAAAGATGAAAATACTTCCAAAAGTAGAACCAAAAGAAAATAAAAGTAAAGCAAACCCCCCACCCCCACCCCAAGATAGCAAGCATATACAGTTGAATAGATACAAATTACAACTTTAAAATTCAGCAGATTTCACTGAGATGCATTATCACAGTTGGCATTAAAGAAAACCAAAAGAAAAGAAAAAACTCAAGAATTGAGAACAGAATGAGCCAATTGCCTATCCAATAAAGTCCAGTTACACATTAGAAATTAACCAAAACAACTAATATTCACCAAAAAAACAAATAAAATGAAGAAAAATAGCACCTTTCACAGTTTGCAGTAAATTCAGACTCTGTTTCAGTATGATGGAGCCTAAAACTAGAACCCCACATCAAGAAAAGAAGTAATATACACCCAAAAGGTAGAAATATACTAAATTGGCATTTAAATTTTACCAGAGTTTGAGAAAAATTTCACCTTTTCGGGTAAATGGCAAAAAGCTGCAATCTTTAGAGAAAAGAAATGGAAGTGAGGGAATTCTTGAATTAGATAGGGGGGGTTGTATGAAGCATAAATGGTACCAAGAATTGTAGGTGAAAATTAGCAAATGAGCATAGTGTGTGATAGTCCAAAATCCAAATCTGAATACTGTTTTTTTTTTTTGTAATAAATAGTGAGAGAGAGGGAGGGAAGTGAAGATAGTTTGAGAAATCTGGAATTAGTTTATAGGTTGATTAATTTGGTTAGGATTGGTTTCGCGGGGGGGGGGGGGGGNTTTTTGGTGGTAGTTTCCATCTACACTTTTCAATCTGAACCAAGGATTCTACCTACGTTACATAATCAATAGAATCATTCAGTGAGAGGCCATCTTTTTAATGCAAAATGCAGGTCTTGATTGGATATGAAGTTAAAGAAAGAAATAAAATAATTTAAATATGTTATAATCAGTGGCGGACCCAAGTGGTGGTTAGCGGGTTCAACTAAACTCGCTTCACAAAATAATAATATTGTGTATATATATAAATTAGGATTAAAGCTGTGTAAATTTTGCATAAGTATTTAATTTAAACTCACTTGATAACTATTATTTTACCACTAAATTTATATACTTCTAAGATTGAACCCGATTGCACAAAATCCTGAGTCCGCCACTATTATAATATTTGTATGACTCTAAAGATTTCTCTAGTTGACTTATTTTTATATTTAGAAAGGGAATATTTTTTTTAAACAGACTAAAAAAAATATAATTACATAAAATGGAACGGATAAAAGTATTTGTTTGTAATGAGTAGAGAATTTTTCTCCTTAATTTACCTCCATTCTTTTCAAATGTTGGAAATTTCATAGCAACGTTGTCAAGACACTTAAAACAGTTAGATTATTAAAGGATATTATGGATGTGATCCCTTAACTCTTAACAAGAGTCTCACATTCAAGTTTTGAAAACGGAGAAATTCCTAATATGAAGCAGTGTTTTAAAAGGTATTTTTGGGACTCGCTCAGGGCCCTGGGCAGGGCACTTGCAAAACGTCCTGGGACTCATGTATGGGGCTTAGTTCTGTGAGGCTTACGCCCCAAGCGCCCGACCGTGCGCCCTAAACACGCCTAACGCCCAACGCTCGGGGCTCGCCTAACAGTCCTAACGCAAATCACGTGTCGAATTTCCTAATTAATATCGTTGATCTTCAAAATTCTTTAACAAATTAATGATAAAAGTTCTATTCATCGATAGAAATATGAAGATTGAGCATAACTCTAATAATGAGACATAGTATTGCGAATTTATATCTTCACTTGTTATTGGTCGTGTCTTAGTTCATTTGTCCCTCCTTGTTATACACTTTTATTAATTTGATATCTTAAACTAATTTGTATTTATTCATGAAGGAGTAATATTTTAATTATCGTACTAATAAGATTTTATTAATTATTTACTTTTAGAAAAGGTAAAATGTGGAGTTTGATCATTTTTTTTAAAGAAATTGTAAGTTTTTAATTATTTGAAAATTAAAGACGTTATACGTGATTTGTATGCATTAGTTATACTTAAGAATCATGCTAGATATTATATATATATATATATATATATAGTTTTCTTCAATTTTTATGTAATTTTACATGTTTATAAATATTTGCTATCATTATATTATTTTATAAAATATTAAAAATTAAATACATATGGGGCTTACGCCCCGTGCCTCGGGGCTTACACCTCGCTGAGGCATATGTAAAACGCCCGCCTTACACCTCACGTCTTTTAAAACACTGATATGAAGTACTTCTCCTTTAATGAGTCTTCTAAATTAATCGAGCTAATAATCCCCTATACCAAATGATTGTAACAAAAATAAAATAAAAATACTCCTACAAGCAAATAAATTCTCAGGTTGAAAGAGAACTGTTGCTAAAGTCCAACATAGGGGATAGCTCAAGCTGTTGGCCTAACCCCATAAGTTAGGTTGTAGAGTCAATCTTAATCTTAAGCAGTTAACGGATCAGTCGATCACAATTCAATATTGTCTGAGAGTTTGAATTTCAATAACTTTCTAGCTACGGGATTCAGAGCAAATTCAAGTGAAATCGGCATTCATTATTCTCTTGTTACAATTTAAATCTGTATCCGCTAAATTAAATGTATCAAAGAAAAAAACTTTGATATCATTCAAATTGGCATCTATTATTTTCTTTTTTACATCTGAATCGGTATCTATTAAATTAATTAACGATTTCAAAGAAGAAACCTCATGTTTTATTTACTTTGGGCGTGCGCACTTTTTTAAAAAAAATATATTTTGGGGTACTTCGTTTTTTAAAACTTTTTTTTTTGTTGGTATTTCCAGACTAAAGAGGGGGTTGGAAACTTAGGTGGGTTTTGAATGAAAGTTGGGTAGTGCAGTCGACCGACCCTTCTCCTATTTAAATCATTGAATGTTATTTATTGATAATGATCTATCTAGAACGAAGTTTGTTTATAACAAATCTCCACCTATTTCCTTTTGGTCGTCTCATGCAAAAAAGATTGACTTTTCTCCCTTATATCATAACCTAAATCAAGGGTGTTTCAGATGTAAAATATATCAAAAAATAAATGAACAAACAGGAATTTTCTATCTGTTACGTTAGAAAAATAATTACCCTAATATATAATGAGAAGTTCACAAAATTTACCATATCAAAGTATTAAAAACATTCTCTTGCTGAGTCTTGTCGTCAGTATAAAATATTTCTAGATACTACCTTAAGAAGAAACTTAGTGGCCGTTTGAACATAAGAATTGTAAAATTTCGGCAAAAAGTGAAAAAAAAAATTAAGTGAAAATGGTATTTGAAAATTAGAGTTGTGTTTGAATATGAATATAATTTTGGACTGTTTTTTAATTTTTATGAGTGATCTGAAGTGAAAATTTTGAAAAATAGTTTTTTGGAGTTTTTCAAATTTTCGAAAAATGTCTAAATTCATTTTCAAGTAAAAATTAAAATTTTTATGATCAAACATTGATTTCGAAAAAAAATAAAAAAAATTCGAAAAAAAGTGAAATAACGAGTTGGTAGTAATTGATTGTGCATTTGGCCTTTGGGTTGGGGGGAGGTAGCTGTTTGGTTGCAGTTGGGAGTTAATTAGGTACATCCATGCATTCTTCACCTCCATATCGTCATTCAATTTAAAAGCTTATATTTATTGCTATACATATGTTGACATTTTTTAATTTCCACTTGTGTGCCATTTTATGTTTTGTCTTGGCCCTTTGCTAACACCTGGAGGAAGATTGTAATTCACTGAAATATAAGTAATAAATATAAGTATTTGGATGGAATGTGACTAAAACCTTCTCAGTGTTAATTATGTAAAACGTATAATTAACTTGGACTCTTATGTGATATTTTTTGTAGATGAGAATGTTTTGGAGAAAGATAGAACTCTCATATATAAGAGTTATCACATAAGAATCCTACTAAAAGGTAGCGCTCGTGTAAGATAGGAGAAAAATCACAATAAAAAGAAAATTAGAAGTGTTATGCTAAAATTTGACTTTCACGCCAATATAGCATTGGCCGGGTAAATTTTACAAATGGTCATATAACTATAATTTTTTTCATCAAAGTCATATAACTATATTTTCTTACACAAAAGTCATGGAACTTTCACTAACTCACACAAAAACCATAGTTAACGGAAAATACCACTTTCCGATAATATTTTTTTATTTTTTATTTTTTTAAATTTTTCAGTCTAATATATAATAACCTAATTATTAAAAAAAAATGATCCGACCTAATACCAATAAGTGTCATACCTATATGCATTAACGTATGTAAGACCAAAAATAACTAATACAGGTCACATACTTGGCAAGAGCTAACTTCCAGACCTAAAACTAACCTAAATTCAACTAGAATTTTAGTACGTAGACTATCAACAGAATTGATGATGACTCGCAATAAATAAGCTTTCAAGAGAATAAAAAAAAAAGACATATTTTGTGGGAGTTACGTACAGCATACGTGGCTCATGGTTTGGATTCTTTTTAATCAATCAATTTGTAAATTATGTATCTTTTTAATTTCTGTATGGGAGCGTGTTCTTGAATAATAGAAGAGAAAATGTCGATTATACATTACTTATTTACTTCCATTATCATCAACTACTTATTAAAGGAAATGGCAAATGGGTGGCTATAAAGAATACCATTTTTTCAGGTTACAACTTAATTACCACAATATTTAGTCGTTTTACAAGATGCTACTTGGTTGTTCCTTGCACGTTTCAGCTAACAACATCATTATCCATGTGGACTCTGGTTAGACTACAAATTACAATACTCAATGTAACCAGGGTGAAATTCAAAAATAGCTAATTTACAAGTGATAATTGAAAACTAGCCATAATTTCAAAATTAATCGAAATTTAACCATTTTTCATGTAAAGATAAATCTGAACGAAAATACTGTTCAAAATTTGAAAAATATTCCAGCATAATATACTGGAGTTCCAGTATAATATACCGATCCAGTATAATATGCTGGAAGTTCATACACAAGTGCTCCAATCTCCAGTATATTATGCTGGAACTTTCCGCGTGTTAGAGTTCCAGCATAATATGCTGGAAGTTCATATACAGGTGCACCAATCTCCAGTATATTATGCTGGACCGGTCCGTGTTGCAGCAAAATAGTGGCTATTTTTCAATGACTTTACAAATGGTGACTATTTTTGAATTACCAGTCTGAAAACTTACTAGCTCGTGCTGTTTTTACATGTAACTAACTCGTATTGTTATAAATCTGGAAATATAGAAAATTGCACTATGCATTTATCATATTTGTTGCTATACTGGATCTTTTATGGAAAATTATTGCTTGAATATTGAGGTTTGGAAATAAAATACATAGTGAACCTTAGCTTGCAATTGAGATACTTCCAAATGCAAACCCTCCCATGAACTGAAAGTAGTGATTTTTTGCTTTTTATGATCTCCTTGCACTTTCTAGATGTGATTATTCAAGAGTTAACAGGATATTTACTGACAATTCTCATTCAAGAAATAAAATTTAGCCCCAATTCCCGCCTTGTAATTACCTTCTAATTCTTTTTTAGTATTGTAGAATCGAACTATCTATACTAAATTAAAAGAATGAAAGCCCTATCGAAATGTTGATCGATTTTTTTATTCTTCATAATTTCACTCTACTTAAGATAAAAC